CTTTTAAGGAGAATGTTAATCAGAAACACTGTGAAATTTAGTTCATTTGGTAATATGAGTTCAGGTACCTGATTTTGCTTTCTCCCTGTTCTATTTTAATTGAGGAAGAATGTATATAAATGGCAGTTTAAATGTTTTACAAAGTTTAAAAAATGTGTTTTTGTGTGTAAGGAAAGTACCATCCAGATGTCACAAAATCCAAGGAATTTGCTACATGAGGGCAAATTAGAGAAAGACGTCAGGAGCGATCTTAGGTTTGTTTCCCACGAGAAAGAGGAGCGTCCTCATGGGAGTTAAAATAGAAATCATCCTAGACTTCAAGGATTAGAAGAGGCTGGAAGCACGAGCAAGCTGTGAGGGAGCAGAAAAGTGGTGTGCAGGCTTCTGATTGTTCAGCGTTCTTCACTGTTGCCACCCCCAGGAAAGCTTGTGAGGCAACACCAGCAAAAAGTCAGCTGCACTGACTGGTAGAGGGTCTTCTCCCCTGAATTCATAGAGGCACTTCCCTACCAAAGAAGATTCCATTGCCAAGAGTCTAGCCAAGCCTGGAAGCTCTTGCAACCATAGGAAAGTAACACAGTGAAGTACATTTCTGCTAAGAGGGTTCAAAGCCCCACTTTCCTTTCCTTTCTCCTCTAGCTCTTGGGTCACTGAATTGGCATTGGAAACTATTTCAACTTAACCTTTGTGAGGAAGATCTGTATCTCAGTGGGATTTAAGAACATTCAAGAAGCTAACCACTCTCCTAATGGAAAACACAGAATGAGCAACTCTCATTTTTATTTAAACATAAACATCAGTCCTTTTCACAATACATAAGGACATGGAAAAAAGAATTAATACAATTTAGAAGGCTGGATTATCATGTAACTATTATTCTCTATGTGCCTTTTTTATAGCATCACAGAGCAGAATTTGTTGAATACACATTGCATGATAACAGTGCAATAAAACTAGAAATTTTTTATAAAATATAATTAAGTCTCACCAGAAAAATTGGAAATTTAAAAGCAGTACTCTAAGTAATTCTTGGATTTAAGAGAAAAAAAAACTCACTGGATAATTAATTAACTGCAATTATTAGTGCCAACAAGTGGTGTTTGTGAGGTGACCAATTTCAAACTATAGCCTCAAACAACTCCCCCACTCACCCTATAACAGCAACAACAAAAGTAATAAACCTTAATAGAGGAATGCCAATAACCAGACTTTAAGAAATGTATAAGAAAGAAAAGCCTAACACATGAACTTAATAAGAAAAATATGCTATTCCACACAAAGAGGATGAAAAAGAAATATGATAAATGTGAAATCACTCCCACTATTTGAATAGAAGACTAAATATAAAGATGATGGTATTTTTTGCCAGATTAAAACCAAAATTTGATTTAGAATGTCTGCAAATCTTAAAAATAATAGTTTGGGATTTGGAAGAAATAGTGCTGAGTAATGTAAAATTCTTTGCAATAGCAGCAGCAATAACAGCAATAACATACGATTATACAGAAAAACAAACTCTGGAGGAAATATTTTCAACATGGACATGACAAAAAATTTGTTTGTATGGACATAAAGATGGCAACAATAGACATTGGATACTACTAGGTGGGGAAGGTGAAAGGGGGCTGTGGGTTGAAAAACTTCTTGTTGGGTATTATGTTCACTGCATGGGTGATGGGATCATTTGCACACCAAATCTCAATGACATGCAATTTACTCATGTAAGAAATCTGCATCTGTACCCCCTGAGTCTAAAATAAAAGTTGGAAAAGATGATTGATATTTGTAATATATAAAGAGTTCTTACAAATCAATAAAAAGGCAAACATCATAACAGAAGAATGTATATTGTATAGCAGGAAATTCATAAAAGGAAAGCTTGTTACTAATATTGAGAGCTCTGTCCTTACCACTACCTCAATTACTAAATTATCAAATAAAGAAAGAATTGATGGAAATTGTGAAAATAGTGCAGGCACATAGGATTTGCAGTCATTATTGATGACATTGCTTATCACACCTCCTTTTAAAAAGAACATTTAGAAATATGTATAAAAAGCTCTGAAAAATTCATAGCAATTCCTATTCTAGGAATTTGTCTTAAGGGAATAATCAGAAATATGTGCAAAAATGATTATAAGTGGTATTTAAAATAGCTTTATAATCACAAAATAATAGAAATAACTCAATATTTAACAATAGGCAATTGATGAATCAAAGTTCAGTAAGGCTTTCTTAGAATGTTTTATGTGTTTTTGAAGAGTCTTTTAAATTTAATGATATCGTAAAATAGTCACAATACATTGCTAAATTAATAAAGTGGGATATTAAATGCTGCCTTTAGTAAGAATAGAGTAAAAACTACTTGGAAATCTATTAAAATGTTAACTAATAGTTTTCTCTGAGTAGTGAAATGATGATAATTATTTTCTCTTTTGTATCTTTTAACTTTTTACAAGCTTTGGATAATCTATCTAAATACTGTCTCCATATTTAAGGAAAATACAATACATATTATTTAAAATATATTTGTTTTTATATTTAAAAAGCTGACATTGTAATATAAGAATATTTTGATATTTAAAAAAATACCTTAAAGTATAATATATCATTTGAGTGGGAAAAAAGCTGATTTTCTAAGACATTCTCTGTGTGTGACAATTGCATTTTGCAACTAATGCTCTGAGAACTGACAATTACCTTTGCCTCTAGTGGTCACCTACATTGACAGGTAAAGGACAGGAGCCTCAGGGGATGAAGAGCTAAACAGAGAAAAGCAACAAAGTGATGTGTTGGGAGTCTCAGCATGCAGTCCTCTTTTACTATGGGTGGGAAACAGTTGAGTGTAGACACTAGCTAAGTTCTTGCTTTTAAGTTTCAGTTTCAGAAGAACATCTGAGAAAAATGACCAAGTGAAGCCTTTTCTAGTTTCACACCCAATAAGTCCTTGATACTTAGGCCAGGGTCCCATTCTTGCTGAACCTGAAATAGGCAACACCTAACTATACAGGCTCTTATCTACTTTCAAAGGCTAATCCTCCAGGGGCAAGCCAACAGAAGTGGGCAAGTGGTGATTACATCCCTGAGACAGAGGGACTACAAACTTCACTGTTATTCCTGAGTGAGTTTTAATTTTCAGATTATGCTAGTATCATTTGGCTTCTTATAATAGCCTTTTGGTTCAGTAGCTGCTAATTGCTTAATTATTGTTTATTACTAATATTGTAAACTATATTTTTATACCCTGTAGACTACTTGGAAAAAATTTTGATGTTTTAGCACTGATGGAATAAAGCTTCATGTAACTGACAAACAAATTTATATGCAACACCTAAAACATTGCTTATTTGAATCTCTAGGTATACAGTATTCACATTATTATAGTAAGATGATATTTAACTCACATGCATTATGTTTATAAAGTTTCTAAAATGAAAACTTGAAACTATTACTTCATTGTCATGAATTGATATCATCTAAACTCTTACTGTAAAAAAAAAAACTTTTGTTAGATTGGATGAATAAGGAAAAGTGATGTTCAAATATTTTTAAAAGAGAATATATTTGAACTATATTATATAATTTCCCTCTTTTCATTTATGTTTTTCCTCCTATTATTGCTCAGTCACAGTTTTCCCCCAAAACTGATTGGAAGCAGGTATCTCACTATTTGTTTCCAAATACAGAGGGGTCAGTAAATAATTACCTCTTAGCAGTTCATCCTTAAACTAAGCAAGAAACTACATTCTAGTTCTGTTTTCTCAAAGTAACGTCTTTGTATCTGCTATAACAGAATATCAGGGGAGATTGAAGAAAGGAAGGAAGGAGGGAAAGGAAGGAAGGAAGGAGGGCGGGAGAGAGGAAAGGAGGGAAAGGAAAGAAGAAAAAAAGAAAAGAAAGGAAGAAAGGAAAGGAAAGGAGTTAACTGGTTTCAGAAATACCATGTTCTTATGCCGGAAGCCAGATCTCAGTCTATGTTATTTGAAATAAGTTTTGTTAAACAGGAGGTAATATAATGGTAATGTCAGGGATTTATGGGATTTGTTATATGGGTCATTGGATGATAAGCAAGGAATGTAGACAGGAAATTGCCAGAAACTGAAAACAAACTTAATTGGCTTTACAGTTTGGCCCAGAATTATACCACATTGGGCAATGATATTTAGAAATGCTCACCATCACCATCATCATCATCATCATCATCATCATCATCACTGTTATTAATTAAGTGCCTGGACACTTGCTAACAAGTGGAAGATGAACATGCTCTGTCTATATTATTTCATTTAAACCTCTTAAGAACCATTGAATAGGTAATTCTTTTTGACAGATGGGTAAACCGAGGCTTTGGCTTAGGCCAAAGTACTTGCTCAATGTGATATGGTTAGTGTGTAATATGAGACCTGAGTTTAGATGTCTGTGATCTTGAAGTCCATGTTAGTAACCAATTACTGACAACAGGAATTTCTACAATAGCTTTTACTGTCAAATTTATAGGAATTGTGTAATAGCTTTTTTGCTTATGTCCACATGGAGTGAATATTGGGGTCAAATCACTAAAATCTACTAATGGATGAAATGCTCATAGAGTAGTCAGCTCTAGCAGTTTTAGCAATTTAAAAAGCAATGATGATTGGTGCCGTAAAAGCCATAGCACAGGTTCCTAGAAGGGAAAATGCAACTAAGCTGCTTTTTTCAGTCATTTCATCGCATGTGCATTTGGCAAACCTGTCACTGCTTCTGACCGTTGTCTTTTTTTAAATGCAAGTATTTCTCTGCATGGATTTCTTTACTTCATGATCTTCTCTTGTGTATTGTGTTTGCTTTTTGAAATCACAGCTTGGGAGGTGTTTATGCTACAGATATTTTTAAAACAAGGTTATGTATTAATGTAAGTGCATTTAAATTGACCCCACTTGTATAAATGATGTGAAATAGCTCAGCAATGTTCCCATGACCTGTTTTTATACCTTTTGATATTTTATGTGACCCCCAATAAGCTGGACAGATAATATCGGAAGCCTTGGCATCGGGCTATCGCTGTCACTATGATGCTGAGTCTGGTGTCAGCAGCGAAGATGAGGGTGGGAAGCCACCGAGGAAGCTGGAGGTTGACACAAGTGGCGGTAAGGGCGCGTCATTACCTCGGAATGACCTTCAGAAATCCTCTGCAAAAACAACCTGTTTCCACTTTTCCTATTCTTGTTTCTTCCTTCTGCCACCTTTCTGTTTTCTTTTCAACTAAAGAAATAACATGGCCAAAAGTAGTTGATGGGCCCTAAGGAGAGCTTTAAAACTAACATCAGATATAAATTTATTATTCTTTTTTGAATATGTTGATGCCTAGGATTAAAAACAGGACATTAGATTTTACAATACTGGTAGGAATTTTCAGATCAGTCTTATTTCAATAGCCTACCTCCCAGATAGTTGAACAGGTAGACGAACTTGCCTTAACTGACCCAATTGGAGCCATGGAGCACCATGGTACATTTCACAATGATTCATTTGAACTTTTTCTTTTTTTTAATTAGGAAAGGATTCACTGCCATTAGCATATGACCTGGCCCTTGGTGGTAAGTATTCCATCTGTAAGAGTTCCAATTAGAGTGTTCCAACACACCATGACTCATACAAATCTGTTCAAACTTCTTAGGTTCTTGAAATCACCAGGTTTTCTGGTATGTATTGGATGACTTTTAAAAAATGTCCTGATTTGAATATATGTATGTGTATGCAGGCAGGGAAAGATATTCATTTATTCATCAAATGGTCACATTATTGCACCTTCAATATTTAATAATTCTCATCAAACACTGTGAGGCACTTGAGATGTTACCCTTCTTTCAAGCAACAACTCAGGCAGCCACGGTTTTATAGATCCTGGCAGAAGACATAAGGCTTCTGGGTCAGATAAAAAGGACTTTATTGCTTATGGCAAAAAGCAATAGTCAGAGTACCTGTATTTATGCTAGTTCCCTGAGCTCTAATTCTCCCTTGGCAACATCAAGAGGGCCAGGTAACACTTGAATATGCAGTGGGCTGAGTTACAGGAGGGGAATTCTGAGTTTAGATAAACCACCTCTTTTATAGTGGGCATTTAACTAGAGGAATTCAGGTGCACCTTTCCAGACATTTATTGTGAAATGCAGATACTGGTTATTATAGATCAAATTGAATTCAAGCAAGGAAATCTAATTATTTGTAAGCAATGAAAGGTTTTGTATGCAAGGAAGATTATTAGGGCTTTCTTTATGCCAGGCACTATGCTAAGCATTTTACATAAGTTATCTCACTGTCAAAGATTCTGTGAGTATAGCATTGCTATTCCCATTTTATGGATAAGAAAATGAAAGATAAGAGAGGTGTTATTTGCCAAGTTTAGTAAGTGGCAGAGCTGGCATTTTTTTAACCAGGTCAGTCTGGCTTCCAAGTACATGCTTATTCCACTAAATCAAATTGCCACTGTTTGTGAATATTGCTTATTCTCTTCTATTACATCTTTTTCAAAAGCCCATGGGGTTACCATCAAAAAAACATGTCATATTTTTATACTGATTTTCTTAGAAAAGCTTCAATTACTCTTTCTCCCTTGCTTGAGGAACATGTCTGACTCCCCTATAGTGTGTACGTGTTCATATACTGTCTCAGCTGGATGCCATTAGCACTTTCTCTCCTAGAATTTAGGCATAGTATATTACTACATGGTGGCTAGGATATTTTATTTCCCTGTTTCCCTGAATGTTCTTTAATTAATCCATAAATTTAGAAACCAGATTAGAAAAACAGAGGACTTCATTTAAATGTTTTTCATAACTGCCTTTTTAATATACTTTCATGCAGGATTTTGAATAGCAACAGATAGCCTATCAAAGAGACTTGACACACATTATTGTTTCCTATTGTTTCAATTTAATTTGGCTTCAAATCCAGTAATAATCTGTAATGAAATAAAATGGACCATATTCTCTCAGGTGAATTGGCTACATGTTCTGTGAACAAATACTTTATTCTACATTTTGCTTTGGAAGCTTTTACGTAAAAGTTATGAAATAACTGCTGTGATAAGCAGACATGTAAAGTCAACCTCAATCCTATTGATAGACAACCTGAAATTTTTATTTTACTCCTTTGAAAGGAGACATCATAAATTACCTTCCAAACACATTTTAAGGGAAATGTAATATCAACCGTTATTGATTTACCTCAAAATGGTTTAGCTGGCAAGAGCCGAGGAAACACAACAAAGGATAACCATGTTGTGGGTTAGAAGAGGTAATGGAATGGGAAGACAGTCTTCAAAGGGGTATAAAGCAGAGAAGAAGTGAGAAAGATCAGAACTCCAGGCTTGTAGGTTGCTGATGATGAAGTGGCAGGTAAGATGGCTAGCCAAGAAGGCAAGCAAGTAAAAAACAAATGAGGAACACTTGCCCATTTTATACGTTTTTGTAATTTAGAGTTTGCCACCTTGGTATAACTTATTTTATACAATCTAGTCCAGTGGGTTTTCATAAATGAAAAAGAAGATTAAATTGATATAAATTATTAAGATGACCCTTTTCAAAGCTCCTTGCTCCCTAAGTACTATTCTGCAGCTGGGAAATTGAAATGCTTTAGGCATTTGGCATAACATGCCTTTCTTTACTTATTTTGCTTGCATATTTCAGAACATGTGTATAACTTTATTAAATAATTTTAAAAATCCATTTGGTACCATTAAAAACATATAAAACCTATATTTATTGAACTATGAAATATGATAGCTTGTGCACCCAGGTTTGCCGGGAAATTATGGATGAAAACTTGTACTTAAAGAAGATTATTTATGCTGAAAACTGTCCCAGTCTACAAAGTCCTGTCTTGCTCTGTGGTCCTGATTTGCCAAAGGCAAATTAGTTTCTGGACACAGGTGAGAGATAATACAAATTGGTGTCTTTAGTAAAAGGTCTTACCTTGAGCTACAAAGGTAATACCCAATTTGTGATGACTAAATCTAGATATAATAGCTTATCATCTGGGAGTGAGAATGATCAGTTCACACTGTATTATGATTGTGTTGTTAAAGGTCCATGTAAGTGTAAGAAACACAGGCAGAAGACAGACATATTATGCTGCTATAGAAAATAATGATTTCTGGGCCGCTGTAGTGGCTCACACCTGTAATACCAACAATTTGGGAGTTTGAGACCCAGGAGTTGGAAGTCAGCCAGCCCAACTTGGAAAGACTCTGTCGCTACAAACAAAACAAAACAAAATCAAAAACAAAACTAGCCTCACCTAGTGGCATGCACCTATGGTCCCAGCTACTTGAGAGGCTGAGGCAGGAGGATTGCTTGAGACCAGGAGGTCGAGGCTGAAGCGGGCCATGTTCACACCGCTGCCCTCCAGCCTGAGTGACAAAGTGAGACCCTGCCTCAAAAAAAAAAAAAAAAAAAAAAAAAAAAAAAAAAAAAAAAAAAAAAAAGAAAAGAAAAAGAAAAAAGAAAGAAAGAAAAAGAGACAAAGAAAATAATAATTTATAAGAAGATAATGCTCACTATATTTCTTACTGCATAACTTTTCCACTTACTATTATTTTTAAGAAAGGACGTTTGTATGTGTTTGTATGTCTGTGAGGGAGAGAAAGAGAGAGAAAGAGGAAGCCAAGACAGAGTGAGACGAAGATTTTATTACGACATGGGGGCATAAGGATTTTTCTTTTTTATTTTTCCTTATTGCTGCTTATTTTAAACATTTCTGATGTTCAGCTTTTCTTTAATATCAATGTGTTCATTAAATTTAAAAACATTTCATTTCATAATGAAAAACCATTATTAAGTCACGGTGCATGTTATAGTCAGTATCTTAGACTCAATGGAGGAAGTGGCCTCTTGATATCGCATACAAACATCTCATACTATAAACAGTGTTATATAAGATTATAGTGTCTCCTCCCTTGTTCACTTGGAATTAAAGTAACCTTGATTTCTCACTTTATTTTTATAGCACCAACAATGAATTTGGTGGTGGCCGAAACAGCAGCAATCAACTCAAACAAGGAATCCCAGCAATCGGCACAAGAAAAGTGTACACCGGAGAAGAAAGAAGCAATGGAGGAAGAAGTGCCCCAGCACAGAGATACTGACATAGTACAGGGAAAAGGGGATGCAGCACTGTGGGGAGAAGCAGGAGTTGTTCATGAGGATCCCTTGAGGGTGTGGAAGCCAACAGCAGAGCAGTCAGAACTGGTAGAAGAGTTCACAGAGAAAAGGGAGATTTTTCCAGGTGTAGAAAAGGGAGCAGAGGCAGCAGCAGAAGCAGAAGGGGCCAGAAGGCTGGGCGAAGAGGGGTCAGACTCCACAGGACAAGCGGCAGCAAAAGATGCTGTGGGCCTGAGTAAAGATGAGGCTCCTGAAAAGCAGGCCTTGATGCTGACGGTGCTTGAGACAGAGAAGGCAGCTTCTGAAGGGGAGCAGGGTTTGGAGAAGGCAGTGCTTGCAAATAAAGCAGCAGCCCTGAACTCGGAGCATCTTGAGGAGGTGGTAACCCTGAGAGAGGCAGCGGCATCGGAGGAGGGAGAGGCTGAGGGTGGGGTGGCCGTGAGTGATGACGGGGAAAGTGAAGAGCAGACATCCATAGACCTAGAGGACACGGAACCCATGGAGGACACAGCGTCCAAGAGAGAGGATGGTTCTGAAGGGGCAGTTCTTGGGGGAGAGGAACCAGCCGAAGAGAGAAAGGATGTGAGGAGAACAGAAACACCCCTGAGCCCCTTCGAAGGAACAGGAGAGGCAAGCAGGGTGCAGGGCAGCCCTGAAGACCTTTGCAAGGAAGATGCAGAAGGGGAAGAAATAGTGACTGAGGCAGAAGCTAACAGGGAAGATGACAGGAAAGAAATGTTGCCCAAGGAATTAGATGTAGCAAGAGAGAGAAGGAAAGCTGAGAGGCCAAAAACCCCTCTGAGGAAAACCGAATCTGAGACAGAAGAGGTGACAAGGCTAAATGCACTTAAGGATGAAGACACTTTTAGAGAAGAGCAAAAACGTAAAGCAGAAGGGAAATCTGAGACGGAAGTAAGAGCTGAGGAAGAGACCAAAGCCCCACCCAAGGAAATGGGATCCGATGCTGAGAACGGAGCACCTGTGGAGGCATCTGAGTTGTCGGACAATCCAGGGCTTCTAGGAGAAGATTCAGTAAAAAAGACAGTGGATCCCATATTTGAAGCAACACCTGGATTTGAAAACTCGCTGGAAAACATAGCAGCTCTGACGAAAGAAGGAGGAGAGGAAAGACTGAGAGAAGCCAGAGACACAGAGCACAAAGATGGAGAAGAGCTGTCGAGCAGGGAGAACGGGGCCCTGGACGAGGGGCCCCACCAGGATGGAGAGGGGCCCTTAGCAGCTCCTGAAAGTCAGCCAGCGGGAAAGGCGCCGGCCCCCGAGGGGCTGATCCCAGCCACAGGCCCGGCAGAGGAGCTGGCAGCCAAAGATCACAACTGCGGTGCAGGAATGGAGGGGAGGGCTGAAGGGCAAGAAGGAGTGGATGCCATGCTAAGGACCCAGGAAGATGTTCCTGAGGGAGATTCCATGACGGCAGAAAAGTTCAGGGAAGAAGTGATGGATGAGGACCCAGAGGAGGAGGAGGATAAAGAGTGCACTCTGGGGACAGAAGTGATGCAGGACGAGAACCTGGAAGGGGACAGGGACATGGGAGGAGGAGGAAACACAGAAACGAATGAGATCCTGGGAGGAGAAAGGGTTGTGGCTGAGGAAGTTCTACATGGAGGAGGGGAAATGGCAGAAACAGCCGCAGAGGAGAGGGAGGTGTTGGCAGGTTCGGAGACAGCCGAGGAGAAAACAATGGCAAATAAAGCCTCCTCCTTTTCAGATGTTGCTGAGGAAGAAACTTGGCACCAGACGGATGAGTTAGTAGGAAAAACAGCAGCTGCAGGGAGGGCGGTGGTAGAGGAATTAGTACAGAGTGAGGAGAAAATGCCAGCGGCAGAGGAGATGACAGTGACATGTACAACAGAGGCGGGGGTAGGCACCCCAGGAGCCCTGGAAGGGAAGACCTCAGGGCTAGGACAGGAGTCAGAGGGCCGGGAGGCAGCCGCGGGGAGGCAGGAGTCGGGAGCAGCTGAAAAATTCAGATTAGGATTACCACGGGAGGGAGAGCAGGAACTGAGTCTAGAGAGTCTCCAGGCGACGGCAACACATCCTGAGAAGACTGATTTCACTGCAACTCAAGAGAAGCAACAGCGCATGGTGCAAGGAGAAAGTGAGGCTACAGATGTTTCTCCCAAACACGCGCAGGCCTAGACTTGATGGTAGACGGTGAGTTGAAGTCTGATGTGTTTGCAGGACTAAATAGCAACCCTGTGGTGGGCCTCCTCCTCTTGGGGCTGGCTTGTCCCTCTATTGGTGTCTGTGCACATATAAACACACAGACTTCAGTTCTGTGTCACTTAGCCCTGAGCCTATCAGGAGGGGGGCTGGGAAAGACAGACGAGGGGCAAAGCACGCACAGGGACCCACTGCTCTTCCCTGCCTGACAAGTCATGCTCACTCTTTGCAAGGCAGCTCCTTGAGATCCGTGTATCCCATATAGGACCCCAAAGAGGAAATACAGAGGAGAATGTGCCGCAAAGGACAGACCACAAGAGTAAAGAATCAAACTCTATTTCACAATTCATTTCCACTCTAGTGTTTTAAAGGATGAGACGAAGGTTGTTTGTAATCATTTGCCTTTAAGTGGTCCCTATGATTTCATTTTTGCAGCTTTGCAGTGTTTAATACATATTTTTACAGATACAAAATATAAGCATTCTATGTTGAATATTTTACATATATAAAATATTTTATATTCTATACGTAAAATATTTAGGTTATAAATCTTGAAGAATGGAACTAAAGACTAAAATTATGTTTTTGCACATCCTGCCATTTCCTTAATGCCCTCACATTCTTAGTGTCCAGTTTCCACTATTGTGAGTGATTTTATTCTGGTACTACTATCCTTTTTGTTGTTTTTCAGGATAACTTAAAGATGTCTTCTGGAAGACGTAAAGAGTGGAGAAAGATTTACCCAAGCATCTCACCAGGACTCTTGATTTTCTCTCTCTTTTCTTTTTACTTCCTAGCTATACTTGTCTGAGATGATTCCCAATCTGTCAGCCCTGGTCAGTAGCTCAGTAAGCACCTTGAGAATAGCTCAAGTAGATTGGTAGGACCCTTCTTAGGAGCCATTGTTCCTCCTGGAAAAACTTGTGAGGCTGTTACACATTCTACACACCTAACACTATTCAAACAAAAATGATAATTTTCAAATGTTTGACTTTTACCAAAGATCACTGGAAGGCCCAGTCCTAATATTAGGGGTTTGTCTAAAGTCCTTTTTATTTTACAATACAGAGCCCAAATCCATTCCACAATCTCAGTTTCATACGTGGGAAATTTATTTAAAATCTGTGGTTTAGGGCTTTAATGAATTGGCCTGTGACAATGAGCTCTAAATGTCGTTCCACGTACACTCAAAACTAAAGATTGCTGCAGATCTCTAAGTTATTTTAGCTAATGATTTCATGGGTCTTTATTATAGAATGACTTATAATCCTTTGAGTATATACCCAGTAATGGTATTGCTGGGTCAAATGGTATTTCTGTTTCTAGATCCTTGAGGAATTGTCATACTGTCTTCCACAATGGTTGAATTAATTTACACTCCCACCAACAGTGAAAAAGCGTTCCTATTTCTCCACATCATCTCCAGCATCTGCTGTCTCCTGATTTTTTAAATGATTGTCATTCTAACTGTGTGAGGTGGTATCTCAATGTGGTTTTGATTTGCATTTCTCTAATGACCAGTGATGATGAACTTTTCTTTCATATTATAAAGATGCATGCATATGTATGTTTGTTGCAGCACTGTTCACAATAGCAAATACTTGGAACCAACCCAAATGCCCATCAGTGATAGACTGGATAAGGAAAATGTGGCACATATACACCACAGAATACTATGCAGCCATACAAAAGATGAGTTCATGTCCTTTTCAGGGACATGGATGAAACTGAAAACCATCATTCTCAGAAAACTGATATAAGAACAGAAAACCAAACTGCATTTTCTCCATCATAAGAGGGTGTTGAACAATGGACACATGGACACAGGGAGAGGAACATCACTCACTGGGGCCTGGGGGATGGGGGGCTAGGGGAGGAATAGCAAGGGGTAAGGGGACTGGGAAGGGGTAGCGTTAGGAGAAATACCTAATGTAGATGATGGGGCGATGGATGCAGCAAACCACTGTGACACATGTATATCTATGTAACAAACCCGCACGATCTGCACATGTACCTCAGAACTTAAAGTATAATAAATAAATAAATATGATTTCATGGAATGTATACGTACTTATACTTAGAAATATTCATTCTTTTAATTTATGCCAGAATAATAAAGGGAAGTCTTATTACAAAATGCTCTTTGTTTTCTGTGAGTGTTTCTGTAGTTCTACTTTCTGGGGTAGATTAGTAAAATGGTAGCTTGTAGCATTTGGTCCCTGGGACCTTATTTACAGGGCCATTCAAATTCAAATAAAAGTTGTAAATAATTAAGTTAAGCAGAGTGAGTATAATAATTTTAGCAGTAGGCAGCGCACATCAGCATGTATGCCAACATTCTAGACTCTTTAATTGCTGTCATTCAACGGAAAAGAAACTTGGATTAAATGAGTGTGCTGCTCACCTTCCCAAGTTCTGTTATTTCAAACCTGTGAGCTAACCTTGCAGTTCATTATAAATCAACAGTCACAATTGCATTCTAAATTACCCCCGATATTATTTTCTAGTTATATATCAGCCTAGGGGTTTTGATTTACTTGAAGACATACCAGTGTCCCAGAGTGCATGTGTTTATCTATCATTTCTTTATGTGAGGAGGTAAAAAAAATTTCCTTAAGCAGTGATTTTCCAGCCAGAATATACATTATATTTTCATGGGGCACTTTTATAATGACTCAATGCTTTTCTGCACCCCAGAGATTCCAATTTAATTAGTTTTGATGGATCTATACATCAGTATATATATTTTCAACTTTTCACTTGATTCTTCTATGTAGCCAAGGTTGACAACCACTGCTCTAAATCATATAATTCATGCTGGCCACATTACATTCAAGGTCCCTTGGGACCAAGCATATTATCAAAATAGATATTTTCCATTTTAATGTATAATAGGGCCATTCAATAATCAAAAACTACACTGGGCCAGACAGTAGATAGGTCCCTTGATGAGCAGCAACAGCATCATCTGTAAATTGTTCCCAGCTCCTTCTCCTACCTACTAAATTAGAAACTCTTGGTGGGGTCCAGTAATCTATATCTTAACAAGCCCTTCAGGTGATACTCAGGTACACTGATGTCTGAAAACTGCTGTCATAGGCTATTGATAGTATTAAGGATTAGTCTCAGTTGGAAAGGGAACTGCAGAGGCATTGTGAACTTTCTTTCTTTGCCTCTCTCTGTCTCTCTATCTTTCTCTGTCTTCTGATTTATCTGTCTCGTTCTTTCTCTAGGAAACGGCACCCAATATAAAAGTGGTGAAGTCAGTATTAAACCTATTTTTACTATGATTGTATTGATAGATGCACAGAGTCCCTCTGCCCTACTCCCTATTAAAGGATATCACATTGCACATCATAAATCGCCATAATCTGTCTTAAAGTTTTATGAGTAGATTTCATCTACATTATATTCAAGTTCATTTTTTACTGAGCTGTATTACCGTGGAGCTCTAACAGTAGTTTTTTCCTGATTTCAACCTCAATGCTACAGAGCACTTTGAATACATTGCACCTTATGGGAAAGATAGTAAACTTATTAATCCCATTGAAAAATGAGTTTTGTACAATGTGCTAAATGGAAATTGCATTGGATTATGTTTATATTTAACACATTTCATCAAAACATCCGATAACATAATTCTACAATCTGCATGTGAGTTTAACTGTGAAATTTAGTATTGTGATATTTTGAATAAGTGAATTATTTTCCTGCAAATACTATGTTGATAAAATTATTTGTATGTCCACCTGAAAATATTTTTTTCCTGTTTCTTCACTATTAAAACATATGTCAATCATATGTTTACAGATACATGTGAATGGTTCTTTGTAAATAAGAATTGACTTTTAATCTCTGTGTTCTTTCCTTATAATATTTGAACTCCCCAGAGCAGAGAAGAGAGAATTAGTTTTGCTGGGCTGTATTTTTGAATACAGTATATGTATTTATACTGATTTCTACATTCATATGTGTCTTTCACACACATGAGATAATGTCAGGGAGGAAAATTATTATCACCTATCACCATTTTATAGGTAAGTGAACAAAAGCTCAATAAGGTGGCTTGTCTAAAAATCAGTCAGTCTCGGGTTATCTGACTCAAAATTTGGACTTTTTCTTATCATATACACTACTTCTAAGGAGAGGTATCTTAAATAGATACTAAGATATTACATGTGAACCTCTACATGTATTTGTTTATTTATGGAAGGGAAAAAATTAAACTTCCTCAATAGGTCCTCTATCCGTGAGAAGGGAGTTATATTTTCAGCTAGTGTCAATCAAAGAAAAAAGACTATTAAAATAATTCAAAAGAAAAATAGGCAATCAAAGGAAATGTAGGTGGAATTAGGTTTTCTGCTTGAACTTCTTGAGTTAAGCTTTTTCTAAGAGTGTTGTAAATTTAAAGTACAGTTGAGTTCCTTAATCCTTCTAAGATCAGTAATTTTGCAAAAATTATTGCCTTTGGAAAAATTATTGTTTGAGAAAAGAAAAGAAAGCCTTAAGGAAGATTCATCTAGTAAGTGAAATATTCCAGCAGGCTCAAGGACAGCCCAGAAGAAGCCGCTTCTGACCTTGGGTAATATTTCCTCTCTGTTTTCTGTACCATTTGATTATGTCATTTAAAAAATAATTCCCTGACACCATGGCCAGCAGCAAGAAGTACAAGAGGACAGGGAATAAATACAGCTGAAATTCTTTAAAAGTTGCTCTCAGACTCACTCCTCTTGTTTTTCCCTTTGTTTTTTGTTCTTTATTCTAATATCACACCCTGTGACAGGAAAACTATGCTTTTCAAAATAACTGGAAACTAACTTTGCAAGATGAAATGCTGGAATTTGAGAATGCACATGCTTTTTGTAATTTTTTCCAGAAGGCTCAAACTGTTTAATAAATCTGTGGGACTCTTACAATATTTTGGAAAGTTGAAATACCCTTATTTTTAATTAGGGAAAATGCAGTACACAAAAGATTCTTGGGACAGAGAAGCTAGTGCCTAAGTCTTGCTGCTTTGTCAAATGTTTCCTGGTCTTTATTAAATATCTACTTAAACATATTAGGGACCCATACATTATGAGAGAAATCTCACAGTTGTTTGAGAAATTGGTATCATGAGACACAGAAACTTTCAAACTGGTATGGCTGTACCTCCCAGGGAAGATGAAGCTTTTCATGGGATTCACTGGCAAGGCTAGTTTGCAGATGCTTAACCTCCATATGCACTTTATCTTAAAATGGACTTGAGAACTAATCTGCAGTCAATGTCTTTTTTCAATTCCCCAATCTTCTGCTCACAATAGAGGCCAACTCTTCATTCACTTACCAAGTTTACTGTGATGCAATGATCCCTAGAATGACACAAATCAGACAAAGAAACAATTTGAAATATGGCATAAGAAAGGACCTTAATGACTGGCTAACAAATCTTTCTGCAAATCAGTTGGTTTTAAATTCTTTGTTTTCAACACAACTAAATGAAGATGTGATTGAATTGCCAGCTGATAAGTTATGGAAATATTTTTGGTATATTATCAGTCTCTAAATTTTGGCAAATCAGAAGGACTTCAAATAAGAGCATTGTTATACAGAATAACAAAATAACTCCCATTCCCAATTACTTATTTATGTGACATGCATAATTACTATATTTTTATATCTATAAAATAAAACAGAAAGTGGAATAGAAGTGATGTTGAACACTGTTATTCCAGCAGTAAATAATATTCATTCACAGACATACAAACTAATTAAAAATAGAAATCATTATCTTAGATGCATTTTTACTTTTACTTTTTATGTGTAATATTTGCCAAAATTTATAGTATGAATGTTGTTTTGATCCAATGTGTATTACTAATAATTGCAATGATAACTCAGTCCAGGTAAGATTTAGCACATAGCGTCTTATGGTCACAAGAATTTTTTTAAATTAAAATTTAATTTGTATAATAATTTAATGATAGATAATTATGACAGGGTGAGAAGTAAAAGACATTTAAGTATAAAAATACACTGAAGTAACATACGTATCTATGGGCAAAATGGAACAGAAATCTAAGTTTAAGAAAATAAAAAACGAGATTTTCTAACACTAAAGAAGAGCTTAGCCACATACTTTTGAAAATGGATGTCTTAGGTCAGATCCTTCCAGAAACACTTTGGATCAGAGGTTTGTGTGCAGGTTTATTGGGGCATGCCCTGTGAACAACGCAATGAAGAACTGAAAAAGCAGAAATGGGCCAAGATACAGAGATGTAGTTGCCACAGAGGTGCAACT